CCTCTTGGTTTTCATAGGGACTGGTTTATCAAGGATAAACTGTTTGCCACTGTGGGTTCTCTGCCATTAAAGAGGATTTGGAGAAAGAGGAAATAACCAGCTAAATTTTCTGATGCAGGGTGGGATAAGATAAGCCATGCTTTCCAAAAACAGTTGCAAGACTGGTATAACATATTTCCTTTGAAGCAATAAAGTCATTTCACAGTTTATCAACTCAAAGAATATCCAGTATTTCTCTGTGAGCCTGGGAATAAAGGACTAGCCCCAATGAGGGGCATTTTGTCTTAGTTTTTCAATTGAAATATTAACTCAAGTCCACCCAATGAAAGTACAGAGTACATGAGACCTAAACAGCAATTAATTCCAACAGTCGTCCTAGGAGTTTAATATTCATGGAAAATCCTGAGCTTCCTGACACCTAAACATTTCATTCTAAATGCTCTAGGTTCAGTACAACTCTAGATATATATTTTCTCCTCCTTTCCCTTCTTAAAATTTAAGTCTATATTTCATGAGTTTCTTTAACTAATATAGTTCTGCTTTCTGTGTAACTTTTATCATCTGTAACTTTCATGTAAATTTCTGACTAACTTTGCCGTGTTAAATTATAAAGATTGAGAACACTGGTTCTCCTCCTCTCTTTCTCCTCCTCCTCCTGCTTTTCATAAATATCTTTCCTCAGAATAGAGCAGCTTTGTTTTTTCCAAATATCTGCAAATTCTACCTCAAAAAATTATAAATTTAGCATTCAAATAATTCATAACTGACAAATTATCTTCTCTTCCTTAGTTTTCAACCATATATTACTACATTTCGTTCAAATGGTGAATACCCAATAAAAAGCGATCTGTGTGTGTGTTTTATTTAAACAAGGATTAAAGCAAACAGCTTATCAGACAGGAGCATTACTCTATTTCTGTATGTTACTCTGGGGGACTTGTTAACCAAGGTAATTACATTGGAAAAACAGAGATATTAAATGAGAATTTAAGAGGAGAAAGAGAAAAAAATGATGAAGAAAAAGAAAAGGCGGAGGAAACATGAATAAGGAGGAAAGACTGGCAGGCGGTAGTGATTTTTTCCCCATTAAAACTAGGGGTACCTGTGCTGCTTCCGTCTTCTTCCCCCCAGGGAGGACTGTATTTAAGTCAGCTGTTCTCCTTTAGTGCCGCTCTCTTCTTAGCGTGTAAGTGAAATATAGTCCACAGCCACTTTCCGAGAAATACTAGACGTGTCATGGAACAGTGTCCTCCTCTGTCATCATCTCACTGTGCTAAGCGATGGCAGTCAGCAAAGTGTCTGGCTCATAAAAATGCTCAATAAAATGGATTTTGAATTTCATGATTTTAATTAATGCATTCTATTACAAGATCATTGTGTATGTATTACATTTGCGATATTGTGGCATATAATATAATTAGTTCTAAGTGTAGGAGGATAAAGAGAGCTTCACCCTTGCAGAATTTCCATCTGTCTCTAAATATAATTAAACCAGACATGCAGATTCCCAGTCCTTGTCTACCTGTTATAATTGGGTTCCTCCTTGGGTTCTGTTTTGACCTATGGTCCAGTGTTGCTTGTAGACTTTACTAAGCGACTGTCATAGCTTTGGCGCTCAATAAAATGTTTGTTGAAAGAACGTATGAATAATCTTATGTGGCTGCCCATCTTTGCTCATGGTGTTCCCTCTGCTCTCTCTTCCTCTCCCTCCTTCTTCCACCCTTTGTAGACTAGGAACCCCAGGAACTGTGCAGCAGTCATCACTGTATCCCCAAATACCTAGTATGGCCTGGCATACAGCAAGTATTCAATCAGTGTTTGAATGAATGAATGAATGAATCTATCCACAAATGTCATTTGATCATCTGTCCCATCAAATCCTTGCCTTTTGCCTAAGGGGTAGGGAGGTTGATTTTAGTACCAGTGAATTGACTGTGTCCTAGGAGCACATTTTTAGTGATTGTTCATAGTATGTCTTTAAAAAGAAAAGACTCTGAATCGTAAGTGAGGCTTTCTACATTATTGAAGAAACCAGCAGTGACATTTGAGAAAGGTCCAAGCCTTAAAAACCATAATGTCAGCAGTTTTCATGTGTCCGTGAAGCAAAGGGGTCTGAATTTAAATGAAGCACTTCAGTAGCTTGGCGGATCCTTGGCCTGATTGCAGAAGTGGTGTTTGTGTGACCCAGGCCTGTCAGTTTGCCTCTGATGATAAATCAATTCGACAACCGAAGCAGTGTGATAGGGCTTCATGGTGGTAACTGTTTGGCTTGAAAAATTAAATTGATAGGTTTTCAACCAAATTAAATGAGTAGTTTGGTATCATAGAGACACTACTTTGGACCTTTAAAACATGTTGTGCATTTCTCAGTCCTGACAGCCTTGACAATAAGAGCCAGATCAAGACATTGAGCCCAGGCTGGAGGTGGAGAGTATAAAATAACAACTTCTCCTACTATTTAATTAGTACCTGCCATGTGCAAGTATATAATCTGTTTACAGCTCCAAGATAGTCAGGCTTAATCAGTAATTCTCAGCAGTGAGAAATTTTTGGTTGTCAAAACCTGGAGGGTTGGGGGGCTTCTGGCATCTAGTGGGCAGAGGGCAGGGATGCTATGAAACATCCTGCAATGCACAGGACAGCCCCCCACAACATAGAATTATCACACCCAAAATGTCACTAGGAAACAAGGTTAAGAAATCCTGTGTTAAACGATACCTAAGGGCCCTTTGCAACTCAAATTCTGGGATTTTGTGAAATTAGATAATGTATGTGAAAATTTTATAAATTGCAAAACACTATATATATTCAAGCTATTATTATATGATATAAGCCATTGCTGTTTCTCCTTCTTCCTTCTCCTTTCTGGCATCTGTCTCCTAGTCGGCCTTTCTGTTCCTTGCCAGATCCTCAAAGGTTTAGGTCAAAGGAGCTAAGATAAGGGGTGAAGCTAGAAATCCCTCCACTGCTGGTTCACAATTTGGGAAAATGTTAATCCAGGTGGCAGATGTGTGTTGAATTTATGGGTTTCACTTTTTTCAGCGTTACCCCCAAAGACCTATTGAGAAGAGTCTAAGTATGTAATCCTTATTTAAAGGGAACCAGAAAACAGATTCTTAACGGGTGTTTGTGCTGCCAAACTCCTACAGAAAATACCTCCACTCTCCCCTTCTCGGGCGGTGGCTGTACCCCTCTCGTGGTCTACAGGCAGTGTCCCTGGGAACCCACAGCGAAATGCCTCATCTTCAGGGATGTGTTGATAGAAATGCCTGGGAAAAGTGAGCCTCTTGGCTTTGGCTCTGTTTATCCAACACAATCATTCACTGAATGATGTGTTTTGCTATAACAAAATCTGTACCAGCAGTTGAAGACCCAGTATGAATGAACTCTTCTCAGATTAGCCAGGAGCAGACAGGAGGGATGGCCCAGCATGTCATTATTGCGCTGCCTCTTTAGGCCTTTCAGGATTTTACCTAAATAAGAGAGTCATGGAAGGACTTTTGTGTGTCCCAAGGGCCATGCCTTCAAATAGCAAGAGATTGCCAGTTGAGACAGGAAAAAAAAGAGCCTGTGCTTCAGTCCCCAGCTTCACCTTTGGTACTCTGCCTCCATTTTGAGCGGAACTCCTTTTACACTTTCAGACTCTGAGGGAACAGAAATGTCCCAGTGCCAGAGGCCTGCCTGGTGGTGGGAGTGTTCTCTCTGCTGTTTACTCTAATGGGTGGTGGTAACTTGGCCCAGGACAGTAACATAAATGCCCAGGGTGAGGCCAAATCTCGGAAACTTTTTGGAGAAGCTGGCCTTCCATTTTTTTCCTCCCTGATTTGTGGCATTAAATGTCATTTAATCCTGGCACCAATCCTCTGGAATGGATGCTATTACTGGAACCATCTTAGAGATGTGGAAATGGAGCTCAGGCAATTTGCCTCCTAGGACACAGCTAGTAAGTGACACAGTCATGATTTGAACTCACATTTCTTTGACTCCAGAGTCTTCGCTCTTAACCAGTATGGTATGTATTTTAATATCTGTACATTGTGTATGTGAGGTCATGCCTAAGAAGTGACTGTAGTCAAGACAAAAATTTTGTGGTATAAATAAGGGACATCAAAATAGAAATGTAACTGCAAACAGAGATAGAATTACCGCTTAGATAAATACATTGTACAACCTTCCACTGAATTAAATTCCAGCTAGATACTGGAAGTCACTGCTCCCCACTGAATATATCTTCAAATTGCAATGTGTCCATTGGTCAGCAAATAAAACTCTTCCAAGAATTCCAAATTGCATATTAATCTCAAACACACACACACACACACACACACACACACACCCCGAGAGCTGTGAACCAAAGTTAACTGGTAGTTTGGATAATTGTAGAGTAAACTCATGCCTCTTTTTGATCCTAGGTAAAGACTGGTTGGTAAACATTGGAAATATTTCCCAGTACAATGGTACCCCTTGCCCTCTAAAACATCTCAGCTCAAAGTGAAAATCCTACTGAAAGGTACATGCTTGAACCAGCACTAAGAAGGGAATTCAAATCCTTGATGATTTCTGCTTTAAGTCTGAGTTAACTCTGAAATTTTATTTTACCCTGAGAAGCTCAAACTCAACCTAAAGTAAAGACCACAAAAAGTCTAGCTAATCATTGAGAATAGTAATAGCTTGATTTAGAAGTATATTTTTCTCTGTTTTATATGCCCAACTGTGAATAAATGATTTGTTTCAAACACATTGCCATGTTTGTTTAACGCAAGCGGCCTTCAGTGAACACTAATGCATTTAGTGTGTACGAGAGGATGGCTCTGTTTGGGAGAGTCCTGCCTCAGGGGATCTGGCATCCACGTGGATGACCGGACCTTCTGCATCCAATGCAGCAAGTTTCTTCAGGTTCTCTGCAAACTGCTCTAGCCAAGGGTTAGGTGAGAAACAGGCTTCCACTTGGGTGCCGGAGCCACGTCACCAGTGGAGAACCACACTGCCAGACAGCTGACCTGCTATGAATGGAATCCGGGAGACTGGACACCAGTCTGCACCAGAACTCGCAGGCTAGGCTTCTCAGGCTGACTGGTTTGAAGTTGGCTCTTGCCTGTTTCCCTGTAAACACAAGAATCCTACATAAGGGCAAGATTCATACCACAAGTTCAAAAATCTTTTTTTTTTTTTTTAGTTCAAATTTCTTATGCTCACATTTCTGGAGCATTTAGTGCTAGGTTCTGCACGACGAGCTTCACATGGATCATTTCATTTACTCCTCACCACAGGCCTATGGTAGCAATCACTTAGCGGCAGCTGTGGTACCAACTCTAATCCAGACTGTCAGGGTTCAAGTGCCAGCTCTGATGCTCATGACTGAGAATCTGATTAACCTCTCTGTGCCTCAGTTTCCTTATGAGTACAAAATGCCTTAATTCTCAACTCCAGTATCTGGAGCATAATTCTTTAGCTCTGTTAACTCTGAGGTAAGCTCTTTGAAGGACAAGGTCCACCAATGCTGGCACATAGTAGGTGCTCAATAAGTATTTGCCGAATGAATGAATAAATGAACACAAACCCTTCTATGTCTCTTTTGAAATCAAAAGAAAGTATTGTTTACATAGAAGTGTTAGGAGCTGAGCCAACAACCTCCCCAGAGATCTCTTCTTCCAGGTTTCATCTCTGTGACCGTGCAGTTAATTGGAAAACAGCTTTGGATGGCCAGGGGGGTGGGGTGAGGAGGAGGTGGAGAGGCAGCTCAAGAAGACTGTCTTATATGTTATGTGTTAGAATTTAAAAATTGGTCCTGATATCAAGTCATTGCTCAGCATAGGAAGCAGGGAGAAGTGACTGTGCTACTTAGCAGTAGGAAACTGTGTTTGATGTTCTCTGCACATCTCTTAGCACAGAGGTCAGTAAACTTTTTCTATGCCTGGCCAGATGGTAAATATTTTAGGTTTTGTGGGCTATACGATCTCTGTCTAAACTATTCACCTCTGTCCTTATAGTGCAAAAGGAGACGTAGATAATACATTAAAAAAGGTGGGGGGGGGGGGGGGGAGAGGGTTTGGCTGTGTTCTCATAAGACTTTATTTATAAACACAAATGGCAGGCTATATTTGGCCTACTGCCGTAGTTTACTAAATGCTGGCCGAAAGCATGTCTAATTGTAATAAACTGCACATTTTGTTCCATCTCTTAGAGACTCTTCTTCATATTAGCTGTATAGTTCCCTTTTTTAAGGCATTAAGTAAATCATTTATCTTTTATATAGCTAAGCCTTTGGCCTCAAAAATTCATTGACCAGCACATCATATAATTTGTTTAACTATGGTATATTAGACATAAAGATAAGGAAAAAGGAGTTTGCAGACCATAAGATTTTCTTGAATATGTTAAACTGACTCAGTATACCATTTTGTGTGTGTGTGTGTGTGTGTGAGGAAGATTGTTGCTGAGCTACCATCCGTACCAATATTCCTCTATTTTACGTGTGATGCTGCCATAGTGTGGCTTGATGAGCAGCGCTAGGTCCGTGCCTGGGATCCCCACCTGTGAACCCCGGGCCACCAAAGCAGAGCACACAAACTTAACCACCATGCCACCAGGCTGGCCCCTCAGTGTACCATTTTTTAATGAGCTCCAGTGAAATCCTAATTTTATGGAATCTTATTTTTGTCCTTTTTGCACCTCTGAGCTGTCTTGAGCTTTTTTTTTACTGTGGTAAAATATGCATAACAAAATTTACCACCTTAACCACTTATAAGTGTACAGACAGTAGCATTAAGTACTTTCACCTTGTGACTCCGTTATCATCCATCTCCAAAGCTTTTTCATCATCCCTAAGTGATGATCCCATTCTGCTTTCTGTCTCTATGAATTTGACTAATCTAGGTACTGCATATAAGTGGAATCATACAGTGGTTGTCCTTTTGTGTCTGGCATATTTCACTTAGCACAATATCTTCGTGGTTCATCCATGTTGTAGCATGTGTCAGAATTTCCTTCCTTTTGAAGACTGAATAATATTCCATTGTGTATATATACTACATTTTCTTCATCCATTCATGCATCAATGGACTTTTGGAGTTGTTTCCATCTTTTTTGGCTATTGTGAATAATACTGTTATGATCATTGGTATACAAATATCTGTTTGAGTCCTTGTTTTCAATTCTTTTTGGTATATACCCAGTAGAGGAATTGGTGGATCATATGATAATTCTGTTTATGTTTTTGAGGAACCGCCACACTGTTTTCCAGAGCAGCTGCACCATTTTACATTCCCACTATCAATGCGCAAGGGGTCCAATTTCTCCACATCCCCACCAACACTTATTTTTTTGTTTTGTTTTGTTTGTTTGTTTTTTGCTGGGCAAGATTTGCCCTGAGCTAACATCCATGCCATCTTCCTCTATTTGTTTAGTATGTGGGCCACCAGCACAGCATGGCTGCTAACAGAGCAATGTAGGTCCACGACTGGGAACCGAACCCAGGCCCCTACAGCAGAGTGTACTGAATTTAACCACTAGGCCACTGGGGCTAGCTCTGTTTTTTTTAATAATAGCCGTGCTAATGGGTGTGAAGTGGTATCTCACTGTGGTTCTCACTTGCTTTTATGCCAATATTTGTATTTAGTGTAAAAGACAATTAATTTAGATACTACATGAATCAATGTCTGATGCAAATTAGATTTATATATGCATGTATATATACAAAGATATGTCTGTGATTTATTCCTCTCCTGGCGCCAAAATTATGTGACATGGCTTCCAAGAACATGTAAACAATAAGATGAATAATATAAATAACTAAATTCATGGCACTGGGAATGTAACAGACTAAAAAATGAAACTATAGCCAAAATTAAATCAACTTGAGAATGTGTTGTAATGTCCTATACAATTACTAAAATTGAAGTGAAAAATTCAATCTTGAATTTCCTGGTGGCCAAAGAAAAAAGGGAAAGAGGGTCAATAACCTCATTTGTTGGTTCAATGGTTCATTTGTTACAGATGACAAAAACTCAGGAGAAAAGGCTTTTCTTTATCCATAGATGTAAGATACTAGCTATAACTTTCTTTTTGTTTTTTTTTCCTGCTTTATCTCCCCAAACCCCCCTGTACATAGCTGTATATCTTAGTTGCAGGTCCTTCTAGTTGTGGGATGTGGGACACCGCCTCAACGTGGCCTGACGAACAGTGCCATGTCCACGCCCAGGATCCGAACCCTGGGCCACCACAGGAGAGGGGGCGAACTTAACCACTCGGCCACGGAGCCAGCCCCCAAGCTATAACTTTGTTTCTTCCTTTTTTTTTTGCTGAGGAAGATTCCCCCCTGAGCTAACATCCATTGCCAGTCTTCCTCTTTTTTCCTCTTTATGTGAGCCGCTGCCAAAGCATGGCCACTAAGAAACAAATGGTGTAGGTCCATGCCCGGGATCTGAACCCAGGCTGCTGAAATGGAGCATGCCAAACTCAACCACTAGGCCACCAGGGCTGGCCCTAGCTATAACTATTTTAAAACAGGGGCCAGCCCCATGACTGAGTGGTTAAGTTCGTGCACTCCACTTTGGCAGCCCAGGGTTTTCCACTTTGGATCCTGGGTGTGGACATGGCACTACTCATCAGGCCATGCTGAGGCGGCGTCCCACATAGCACAACCAGAAGGACCTAAAACTAGAATATACAGCTATGTACTGGGGGCTTTGGGGAGAAGAAGAAGAAAAAAAGAAAAGAAAAGAAAAAAATGATTGGCACCAGTAGTTAGCTCAAGTGCTAATCTTTAAAAAAAAAGAGAGAGATCATTTTGTTACCGACACCAGCAGATTGCAGACTGAAAGCAAACAGAATTTTTGATAAAATTAATGGGGTTGTAATCGCAAATGACTCTCATAGCCTGATCATTATGAGACTTTTTGTGTGTAAACTGGTAGTTTCAGAGTCCAATTAGGAAAACAAAAAGTCAACTCTACACATCTCAGCAGACCAATAAGGTCCATTCCTTTGGACTTGAGTCAATGTTTTATGTAGTACAACATGTAAGGTCTTAAATTGCTTCATACATGTTTATATATGTACCTGGCATTTCCTTCCCAGATCACAGATTATAAACACACACATATTTGCAAATAGTCTTTTTACATATATCCTTATTTTCCATTTGGAAGGAGACGAAGATCTTCATGTTCAAATCTGATACTGAAATCTCTGTTTCAGGGTGAAACTACAAGAAATAATGTATCATTTTCAAATTTACACCAGAAAAAAAAAAACTTCATGGTAACTGAATACGTTGTCAAACCAGCTTTCAAGTACTTGAAAAGCAAAGCAAATAAAACATAACAATAGAAGCCATATCAAACAGATGTTTTTAAAGAACTGAGAAAATGTCAAAATTACTCTGAAATTGAAAGAATTGGTCTGAAGTTTTACCCAGAAGTTTGGATGAAAGATAATAATAACTGACATTTCTTGAACATTTTCAATGTTCTAGACACAGTTCAAAGTGCTTTGTGTCTTTTAACTCACTTACTCCACTAAACTGAATACTGTCATTGTGATTGCCATTTTAGCGATAAAGGAAACTGGGCACTGAGCAGCGAGGTATCCTTGCTCCAGGTCCTACAACTAGGTGTGTTCGAGCTGGGATTAACATACAACCATGCACTCTGGCTCCAGAGGCCTCACCCTTCCCCACTAAGCTTTACTGCCCCTGCTGTTACAGCAAATGAACCAGAGAACTATCGATTTGGCCAACTGGCAAATAAACATTTCAGATTTCCGTTGTGTGCTCTAATTTGTTTCGTTTTTCTTTAGATGGTCAAACTCACCTTAATTACCCTTGAAATTTTCCCCTAATATTCTTGGATACCACTCCTAGTGGTAATTTTTTTCAAACTAAATGATGCTCCAGGTTCTAGTTGAATGTTGAAACCTTACGCAGCCATTAAAAATTATGTTTTGGCAGAGTTTGAAGAACACAGAGGACTGCTTATGAAATGAAGGAAAGCGACACGATGTAAATTTGTTGGAAGCCAAGCTCCAGCCCTCCCCCCAAAAAGATCAATTATAAAAATGGGAAAGTTTAATTGTGGCTATCACTTGGTAGAATTAGGAATGATTTCTCTTCTTCATTTTCCATAAAATTTACTTGAGAATTTTCATAGTCCAAAAATGAAATAAACTTCATTTTTTAAAAGGCCAGTCAGAGCCTTTCTTTACAAAAGCACAGTATGAAGATACTAGTGATGATCTTAGTGTATAATTTAAAATCATTTCCACAGAGCTCTGTGCCGTATGAGTGAAGGCAACACAGTGTAGACCTGCACTGTGATATGTGGCTATTTAAAGTTAAGTAAAATGAAAAACTCAGTGCATCAGTCACACTAGCCCCATTTCATATGCTCAGTAGCCACACGAGGCTAGTGACAGCTTTTCCATCATCACAGAAAGTTCTGTTGCACAGCACTGGTTTAGAAGAAAGAACACAGAATCTGGAGCCAGACGACTTGGAATCAAGTCCTGATACGAGCTGATACTTGCTGTATGAAATGGGCAATTTACTCGACCTCTCTGAGCCTATTTCCCCATAAACATACTGGAAGTAATGATACTATCACTTACTATGTTAAGGAGATTAAGAAGATCAAATAAGAAAATGCACATGACAGTTTTCTGAAAACTACAGTATGGTTTACCAGGTAATTGCTGCTTCACAAGTCCCTCAGTTTGAACTTAATCTAGCTCTTTGTGGACTGATTCTAAATCCATGAATGGTTCATACCAAGAATTTGACTGAATGACACCATAAAAATCAGACTTAGCAGCTCTTACCACAGTTCCCAGGCCAAGTCCTCTGCAATATCGATGTTCCATTTCTTCCTGGTAAAAAGCTTCAGCACACAGCTCTGTTATCTGTCCTGTATAATAACACCTCCTCAAAGTTTTCCTTAGCAATATAAATACACTGCTTTGTTTCCATTCCTAAATGAAAAAGGCTGTCCATTCCTAAATGAAAAAGAAAGCAAAGAAAGACGCGATGTCTGCCAAAGAAATAAATGGGGTAAAATGCTATAGCTAAAAGGACATCCATCTGAGTTGACAGTGCAGGAATTAGGCAAAACATGTTGCCATTCGCTGCAAGAACGTGAGGTTTTCACTGGCAATTACAGCAGGTTCTCTAGTTCAGAGCTGTTGGGGTACTGATTAAGCGGAAGTACTTGCTCATTCTGATTTTTTTTTTCCCCGAGTCACTTCTGGTTTTTCCTGCAAAACAACTTGACTAATTTAGACTGTTTTAGAGCTGCTGCTTTTCCAGAGCGGTCTCCATCTTATTTCTCATTTAACCACCTGATGGTTAAGCGCCAGTCTTGTGTCTTTAAAAAAAGAAACAGAGGGAGCTGGGGGAGTCAAGTGCTGGCTCCGCTCGGGGCAGATTCCACACTCACTCTCCCTTCTGCCTCCCCCAGGTTTCCGCCAGCCGTGGATGCCTTTGACATTATGACCGCAGAGGATTCCACCGCAGCCATGAGCAGCGACTCCGCCGCCGCGTCCTCCGCCAAGGTGCCCGAGGGCGTGGCGGGCGCGCCCAACGAGGCGGCGCTGCTGGCGCTGCTGGAGCGCACGGGCTACAGCATGGTGCAGGAGAACGGGCAGCGCAAGTACGGCGGCCCGCCGCCCGGCTGGGAGGGCCCGCACCCGCAGCGCGGCTGCGAGGTCTTCGTGGGCAAGATCCCGCGCGACGTCTACGAGGACGAGCTGGTGCCCGTGTTCGAGGCGGTGGGCCGCATCTACGAGCTGCGCCTCATGATGGACTTCGACGGCAAGAACCGCGGCTACGCCTTCGTCATGTACTGCCACAAGAACGAGGCCAAGCGCGCCGTGCGCGAGCTCAACAACTACGAGATTCGCCCGGGCCGCCTGCTGGGCGTGTGCTGCAGCGTGGACAACTGCCGCCTCTTCATCGGAGGCATCCCCAAGATGAAGAAGCGCGAGGAGATCCTGGAGGAGATCGCCAAGGTCACCGAGGGCGTGCTCGACGTGATCGTCTACGCCAGCGCCGCCGACAAGATGAAGAACCGCGGCTTCGCCTTCGTGGAGTACGAGAGCCACCGCGCCGCCGCCATGGCGCGCCGCAAGCTCATGCCCGGCCGCATCCAGCTGTGGGGCCACCAGATCGCCGTGGACTGGGCCGAGCCCGAGATCGACGTGGACGAGGACGTGATGGAGACCGTGAAGATCCTCTACGTGAGGAACCTCATGATCGAGACCACGGAGGACACCATCAAGAAGAGCTTCGGCCAGTTCAACCCGGGCTGCGTGGAGCGCGTCAAGAAGATCCGCGACTACGCCTTCGTGCACTTCACCAGCCGCGAGGACGCCGTGCACGCCATGAACAACCTCAACGGCACCGAGCTGGAGGGCTCGTGCCTCGAGGTGACGCTGGCCAAGCCCGTGGACAAGGAGCAATACTCCCGCTACCAGAAGGCGGCCAAGGGCGGTGGCGCGGCCGAGGCGGCGGCGGTGCAGCAGCCCAGCTATGTGTACTCCTGCGACCCCTACACGCTGGCCTACTACGGCTACCCCTATAACGCACTCATCGGGCCCAACAGGGACTACTTCGTGAAAGGTTAGTGGGGGCTATTCTCTGGGTAGGCCCCCGAGAGCTGCATCTACTAGGCCGATGATGTCATGGGTGTTGTGGATGTAATTTACTGAGCTGGTGGACTTCGACCCTCCTACCCACCCTCATTTGGGTGTCGGTGCTCAGTTCTGTTCTTTGCTGGTGCTAAAGGCATTCACTTCTATAGCACTGAGAGAAATGTAGATCGTTCGTGTGTATGGGGTGACTGTAAACCGTTGAGGCATGCAAGCTCTTCTTGCATACTGCCTTTCCAGGGCCTACCCAATTTGGGGCTAGTCTGCCAGTCTCTAGGTACTTAGGTTAAAACCTACTTGTGAAATTAAATCTTAAGAATGTTGGGCAGAAAGGGGCACAGTGTTTTGTTTTGTTTTTTTAAATCATTGGCTACAGTATGATGCAACCAGGTATCATATTGGGAAATAAAAATACCTAGGTTCTGGATCCTACTCTGATTGACTGGCTCTGTGACTTTGGTTAGTCCCTTTAACCTCCCTAGGCCTGTTTTCTCACGCATGCAAGGAGGAAGGTGAACCAGCAGATCCCCTTCCAGACCTAGCCTTTTTATGGTCTGAGTGTTGTGGGGTTTTGTTTCTTTTTTTTGTTAAAGTTGCAGTTGCAATCCTAGAAACTCACCCACAAGTTCATCTTTTGCATTTAGCAGACATACCTACGAGGTGAATCTAGGCTGGAACAGAATGTTTGGAGCATCTTACCAGCTCCCAGAAGAGCAAAGATGTAGCCACCTGCAACTTAGACTCAGGGCAAACATCTAAATGCCAAACCTCTTGAGTTAAGGTCAGCCTCCTGTACTGTCACTGTTGGTTGCTCATCATTTTTTGTGTTCTTATCATAAGCAGGCAGCATAAGAGGCCGGGGTCGAGGAGCAGCTGGCAACAGAGCCCCAGGGCCCAGGGGTTCTTACCTCGGGGGATATTCTGCTGGCCGTGGTATATATAGCCGATATCATGAAGGGAAAGGAAAGCAGCAAGAAAAAGGATATGAACTTGTACCAAATTTGGAAATCTCTGCCGTCAATCCAGTTGCCATTAAGCCTGGTACAGGTCAGTATAAACCAGAGTGAGAATGCATCCATTCAGCCAAAACCCCAACTCTCTCTTTGAAGTGACCCCAAGCCTTCCTTGGGCTCTTTCATCTGCACATGGGTTCCTCTTCTCATAGGCAGCCAGGGTTTAGGCAAAGAATGTGGCTTCCTGAGTCTCTTATCTGGAACTTAAGGGGGTGGTCTAGCTCTGACCATGTTCAAGTCGAACTTTCCAGTAGTGGGTTTTTCAAATGGGTGCTGCTAGTTGTTAGGCTTTTTCTCAATCTGCGACGTAGTAGGCATGGTTTTGGGGATGTAGGGGTGGAGGGAAATGGAAGAATATGAGTTCTTCTGTGTCTTCTACCAGCTAAAAACTGTCTTTTCCTTACTCAAGCCTATTTCTACCCCAGCCTTCAAAAGTCAGAGGGTGCAGCTTATTGCTGGTTCTGAGAATTGTTGGGAAGGGTAGAAAATTCCCCTTTGGGAGCAAATAGCTCTATTTGTCCTTTGTCATGGTCTTAACAAACCAGAACTCCTGGGAATAAGACAGCAGTGAAAGTTTTTACAGCTGCTAATTCCCAGGATTCTAATTCCCAGCACTCTTTTTCTCCTCTTGCTGGATAGGTAGATGGGGGTTAGGGACACTCAAGTCATTCAAGCCAAGGACCTTAAACTTTGCTTTCACCTCCAGGCACCACAAACCAGCCTGTCAACGTTGTTATTGCCCACTGGTCAGCTACTGTGAGACAGGTCTTCTTTCTGATCCTAACCTGCAAGGAACTTCATTTAGCCCCCTCGTGTGAGCATAGCACAAACTTCCTATTAGCACACACCACGCAAGTAGCCAAGCACATGGAAAATTCAGTCGTGGGCATTTGGAGTGACCCTCCTGCAGACTTCCTGGTGTCACAGAGGGTGGCTCTTTGAGGGAATCTTTGCTGTGACGCTCAGCCGCTCTGATTTTCTTCTGGTTGAGGATTGTACACTACTTCCCCTAGCTAAAACAGAGCTGGGGAGTCTTTTCATTTGGGGCGTAGGTTTGCATTGGCCACAGAGGGCTCAAAAAGCATTTTCCCAGGAGAGCTTCCTTTTGCAATAATCCAACGGTAATTTTTTTTTTTGCCTGTGAAAAAATTCTTCAGTTAAGTGACCCCTTAGACTGGCTTTCTTTCTAAATGCCATCAACACTATAAGCAATGTAAAACTGATCCCATATCTTTCTGTAATTCCATAAAACAGAGCCTGGATGCAAGTAGGAGTTGTCACGTCTACTTGTTGGGAAAGTGACTCCTGCTGACGAGTTGCAGTAGCTTCAGATTTAATTAGAGAAGAGAACTCTTAAACAATCTTTAAGTGTATAGTTGTGTCCTGGGGCCTGAGGTAGAAATTCCTGTGGGCTGATAGCCAGAACAATCCAACAGTTACTTAATACTGCCCCAGGGGAGCTTAAACTCATAACCCTCTCTGGGCCCATCCTCTTGGCCTCTATTCTGATTCATCCAGAAAATTAGAACTTTGTATTGTAGGAGAACGACTAAGGCAGGGGTCAATAGCTGGACACAAGCCCATATGGTTGGAAAGGTGCGTAAAAGATTGAGTTCAGGTTTTAGGTGTGTTTATTTTATTGAATGGCTGTACCGTTGTTTAATCTACAGTCATTTGCTTCGTTACTTATTATCAAGTCAGCTTGTGTTAGAATAAATATACCTACAGTTGGAGAAGAAATAAATGAAAGGATTTTGTGTATGCATTTCATATTCTTGCTTATCCTTTCAGCACGCGTACATGATAGCATAACACACTCACACAAACTCCTCTGGGTCAGAGCTAGTATTTTTCCTTTTTGCCCCTCTCTGTCATAGTTATTGACTTTCAATGACTGCTGTCTGTCTGAGTCTCCGGGTGAAATGAGTCCTTTGGACTTTACTCACAGAAACAAGTCTTGAATTGGCAGGTGCCATCAAAAATCCAGTCACTCTACTGCTTTGCTGTAATGAGTGGGCATTAGAAAATGAGGGAATTTTCCATTTTTTATAATATATTTTTCCTTGAATCAGTAACTTCGAAATCTGAAATACAGGCTGGGGAAGATGTACACAGACCTCCGTGTTCTCAGAATGAAACGCTCAGCAGCATCTGCTTCTTAAAACGTGAGGAAAGTGAAGAGGGCAGTAGGTCTGGCCAGGAGGGAGGCGAGTAAACAGGAACAGACAGGCTCACTCACTGGTTGGACCTCAAGCCTTTGATCTCACTTCTTATTCTGAGCCTGTTTTCTCAGAGTTGAAGGCCCTTTCTTGCTCTAGGGGATCAAGAGTAAGATTCAGAATGAGGTTTTTCTGTAGAGGCGGCAGGGAATGTTGGTGCAGAACCCTAACTCTAGACTTTCCTTCCATGATGGTCTATTGGGAGATTCCTTCCATCCTCACGTGGTTCCTTTGGAAAGACAAGCAGGAGGAGTACCTGCCACCTCCCCTCTCTTCCTCTTGGGTAGCACCTCCTTACGTGTACTGAGAGAGCGTTAGTTAGCAGGGAGAGGCCTGTGACTGCTAAACTTGGTTTTTAAAAATATCATTGAGAAAATGGTGACCCTCCCTGGGTGACTGAAAGTGATTGACCTGTGTTTCGCTCTTACTTCTCTTGCAGTGGCCATCCCTGCCATTGGGGCCCAGTATTCCATGTTTCAGGCAGCTCCAGCTCCCAAAATGATTGAAGACGGCAAAATCCACACAATGGAGCACATGATCAGCCCCATCGCTGTGCAGCCGGACCCAGCCAGCGCTGCTGTGGCCGCTGCGGCTGCCGCCGCCGTCATTCCTGCCGTGTCCACGCCGCCGCCTTTCCAGGTAGAGTTCTTGCTGCAGTGTTGTAATTTGTGTGTGAGGCCTCTCCATCATGGATTCATTTAATATTCAGCAGGAGAATTTACTGTGTGCCTAGCTCTCTGTTAGAACTATGGCATTGGGTGACAGAAAAATTTTTAATATAAATCATGACAGGACAGAACAGTTTTAAATAATAATTGTACTACCCTAGTAGTCTCACTGTATTAACCATGGGAAGCAGTATGCAGAACTGATGTGTCATTTCTCACAATGTCATAATATTGTACATACTTTTTTTTTGTTTTAACGACACTGGATAATTTTTAACTCATGTCGTTATTGTTAAAGAGCTGGCACACAAAGTCCAGGGAAATAGTTCACATTTTCACATTCCAAATTGAAGTTCAGTGAAGGTTTTTCTTAAAGTTCTCTCTCTCTCTGTATGTGTGCGTATGAATATATACGTGTGTGTGTGTGCGCTTGCACACATGTAGAGAGAAATATCTGTAGAGATATAGATATGTGAAACTTTGCAAAATCTGCCCTCCAACCATATCTAACTATTGCCGGTTCTCCTCCCAATCCAATCTGAACCCCTCCAGCCTCCTTCCCATCTTTGCTCATCGTGTTCTCTTATCTATGGTTTCTTGAGTCTCATCTCTTCTGTAGTATCTTTCCCATCCACCCAGCCTTGGAAATCATCTCTCCTGTACTTCTTATTACCTCCATGATTACTTGGCATATGACTGCCAGTAGGTTCTGTCTCCCCAATTAAAATAAAGCTCCTCCAGACCAGGAGCTACATCTCGCATTTCTGTGTGTCTTCAGTGCATAGCCCACAGGGAATACCTATGAAGGACAGGTCATTCATCCAAACAGTAAACAGCTATTCTTGGAGAGGCAGTGAATCTCAAATACCTTATCAATCAACAAGCACAAATCTTTTTATCAATTAGATAAGAATTATTCAGGGAATGTGTTTAAAAAACAGAGATTCTTAGACTCAAACCCAACAAGATTCCAATTCAGGAGAACAGGGCTGGGGTTCTAGAATCTGTATTTTGTACAAGCTCCTCAGTGATGCTGAAACAGAGCCAGGCTTGTGGACCACCACAGTAGGGTGCTGTTGACTTGTATTTGCCCACTCTGAGCACCAGTCTTGACTGCATCATTCAGAAAGCTTCACACCGGTTGAAATTTATTCATCTATCAATACGCCATTGAGGATTCTTTAACTCGAGATTTCCTGAAACCAGAAAAGGGAATAAGTTGTAAATGACTTCACACTGTATAATGACAACTAAATGTAGTTATTACTTGTGGACTGACTATAAATATCTATAATAACCTACAAGCAAGACTTAGTGGAATTCTGGTAATAATTTCTCATTCCTCTTTACCAAGAAACTGGTGGAGTTTTGTCTTTGGTGTGTAGTGTCAGGTCCAAATTCCAGGCCTCATAATCATGTTCTGGATTGCAGACTGTTTCTGTCTTATGTGAGTCTGTGCTGGATGTGCCATCTGGATCTTTATTTGAACCACAGCCTTCACAGTTCTGAAGTGTCTCTCCCTGGTTGCTCCTGAGGTACTCAGTGTTACAGTGTTGCAGGAGGCAAGATAATGTAGGGCTGATGGTGCAGGCTCCAGAGTCACACATTCCATTGCTTAAAAGCTGTGTCACCTTGTGCAAGTCATTGAACACATCTGAATCTCTCCATCTTATCATAGTACCAGCTTCCTTGGTGGTTGTGATGATTCAATAATGTCATACAAATAAAGCACTTAGAATAGTGCCTAGCAGACCATAATCTCTCAGTTCTTATTATCTTTAATATAATTATTACAGTCATGCACCATGTAATGACGTTTTAGTCAACGACGGGCTGCATATATAACAGTGGTCTCGTAAGATGAGTACCGTATAGCCTAGTAGGCTGGACCACCTAGGGTTGTGTGAGTACACTCTGTGATGTTCCCACGAGGAGATCATCTAATGACGCATTTCTCAGAATGGATACCCATCATTAAGCAACATGTGACTATATTTTGGTTACAGTTGAAAAAAATGACTTAGGTTATGAATTACCTTTGAACATAATTTTAAGATTCTGATTTGCAGATTTTATAAAGGAATGATAGCTAAATTCCTTTATAAAAATCCAGGAAGAAGTAATTTTTTAAATCTAATTCTCCATTTCACGTATCTTGAATTGTTTAATTTGAAGATGGATTAAGACACAGAGGCCATAGCAGCATTTACTACAGGACATTCTATGGAACATAAGGTTCACCAGATATTTTGTTAAATGTATGTTTTATTTTACAAAAAATCTCCTTTTCCATAAAGCAGCTCACAGAACCCGCTCCATAGCAAGCACTGGGAAATCCTGAATCAGAGTCTTCCCTCTACTCCTGTTTGTTCTGAGCACATAGTATGTTACATTGTCAAGTGGAGAGAAGGAGGTGGCAGGGACTTCTACGAAACCAGTGGTGGCATCTGCAGCGAGGCAGCTTTAGTTAGCTTGTCTTTCCCCAATTCCTCCTCATATGGAAACTCCTCCTTCTCCTTCAAAACCCAGCTCAAATGTCTCCACTTGTGAAATGCTTTCTCCAACTCCCCAAGTTAGTTGGTTTCTTCTCGAAGCTTCTACAACAATTTGTATGTATTGTGGTGTCAGCTCTTAGGTGGGAGATGGTTGAAACCATCGATCTCGTTTGCTGAAAATGGAGTATGGTCCCGATTTTTTTAGGTCACAGCTTAAGAAGCTGCCCTTTTGGAGATCTGTATCCTTTGTTCTATAACGTCGTCATAGTCTGTTCTCTCCTCCGTTTTTGAAACACTGTGTTCTTTCAGTTTAAGTATTAGTTGAGGCAGCCAGCATGTATTTTAGGTAAAATACTTATTTTTAATTACAATGAGATCAACTGAGTAAAGGGCAGATTCTCAGCTTCTTTCTCTCCCTTTCTCTGGGGCATATGCTGATTGAGTGGAATGGTGGGTAGAAGATTCCAGGGTATTTAAACTTTCCCTCAGTGGTCCAGTTCTGTCACTTTCACCAATTGAAAGCAAATGAGTCTTGAGGTTGCTCCACTACCTTCATGGCTCTTATCACACTCCCTTACAATAATTACTTGTTTACCTCTCTGCCTCCCTCCCCTGAGAATGGAAACCTTTGTTTTTAGATCTTGTACTCCCAGCCCCTGGGAGTTGAATTGAATGAGTGGAGTTGTTGAATGAATGGGTGCCTAAGGCCATCAGTAAGGACTCTTTTTCTCTCTCCTCCTCAGGGCCGCCCAATAACTCCAGTCTACACGGTGGCTCCAAACGTTCAGAGAATTCCCACTGCTGGGATCTATGGGGCCAGTTACGTTCCATTTGCTGCTCCGGCCACAGCCACGATCGCCACACTACAGAAGAACGCGGCCGCCGCCGCCGCCGTTTATGGAGGCTACGCGGGCTATATACCTCAGGCCTTCCCTGCTGCTGCTATTCAGGTTCCCATTCACGATGTCTACCAGACATACTGAGACAAGAGCACAGACAAACCACAGAACTACCACTGAAGGAACACTTTACTATTTATGAAGAAAGAACATGGATTAGCACACATATGAAACCTGAAAGTGAAGAATGTTATCAGATATCATACTGAAACATTTTATATACATGAAGTTTTCACTAGTTTTTTAAGACTATTTTCAATTTAGCAGGCCTGTGTTCATACATTTCTCAGAGACTTGCAATGGCTCGTGCCTTAATACCATCTCTTAAAAATTTGTATGCTGTAGTACCTTTGTATAGAGGTTTTTGTTTTTGTATTTTTAAGGATATATTTTCAGTATGAAGGTTATTTTCTTAACTTCTGCACTCCAGAGATTTCTATTTTGTAGTACCTTCAATAATATATCAAGTATATATTAAAAAGCACACTTGAGCAGCTAGGAGACTATTTTGAAAAGTATATTCAATATTTAAAGATGCAAACAATAGTGCTTTAAAAATACTACATAAAATGTTATTGTAAAAGTTATACTGGAAAGTGCAATTTTAAAATGAGTAAAACCTCTATTTTTGCTGGTATTAAGGGTCGACGGTGTTACCATGTGTTATCCACGATGGTTCTCTTTTTTAAAAGAAATTAAACACTCAGTCTCTCCTTAAGCCAACATTGAAAAGACTTGTCACACTTCTGAGTCCAAACACTGGAAAGCTCTCACCTGCCACCATGACCCTGGGCCCCTGCTCATCCTCTGTGTGTCCTTGCTCTTAAACCTGTTTTCCCCCAGGCTCGCCCACTCATCTCCTCCCCGAAACCCCAGTCCCGACTCCGTGTTTGGCAAATCTAGGGCAAGTGAATTCCTCCAACAGAGAAAACATCGATAGCTTTTATACTTCTTCCTGGGTATTTGTTGGGATTTTTTGTTTTGTTGTGTTTTTTTGTTTTGTTTTGTTTTGGTTGGGGAGGTATTTTCGATAGCAAAGTATGTGTAAGCACAAGATTTTAATAGTTCACATAAGACACCTTTGCATATGTATTTCATTGTCCAATATAAAACTTTAGTTCCTTTTCTAATGCTTTTATTCGTTTTTGAAGTATGAGTTTCTAGAGACAGAGAATGTTACTGTAGACAAGACCCCGAGAGACCCTTGTCACAGGAAGTTATGCTTCTAGTTGCCTTATCATGTTTCATGCAAAATGTCTGTGGTCGTCAAGGGTGTTGGAAATGTTAAGTTTCTTGAACAGGGCTTCCCTCCATTGCTGTGCACGGGGCAAGTGAACTAAATTGGGGCAGGCACATTCAGGAGGAGAGAGACCCCCCCAGGAGTTAAAAGATAGTTTGTAAATATCTCCTGATGCTCGTTTTTAGTTGTTTTATGGTGCAGAAGTTCATGGTATATAGTTTAATGCAAAATGAAACCATTTTATTTCAATGTTATTAAAAAGTTTTGTTTTATTAGAAAGTAAATGTATTGTTGCAGTGTTTTGTGCCTGTTTAAAGGCTTTTGTTTAGCAGAGTGAATGTAAAATACAGTAAAATGTTAAGATTGTCATCTACTTTATGAAATACATCAACTTGGAATTTTGTTTTAAAGGTTCTATCAAGGAAGTGAGGTGTGCAATAGGTAGCAAGTACACATTTGTGTTTTTATGTCATATTAGAGATACATAAAGTCTTACCACTCACCGAATTTTTGCTGGTGGCTGAATTCTTATTTGTGGATTCATAATAGGATCATGCCTTTAGCAAATGTTTTAGTTTTGTTTTAAATTTTAAATTAAGAGATTCCCAAATGCCTTTTTTCCCCCCTCATTTTAGGGCGGGATGAATTTTTTATATATAAGCAATATTTATTTAACTATTCTGTAAAATTATTGAGTGCCTGCAAAGGCCTTTAAACATTCTTGACATTCCTATCCATCATTCTTCAATGACATAAAGTAATTGTGCAATGTTCCTGATGATGTACCCGGCAAGCTGCATCCGAGCTCGCATCCGTTGGAATGAGTAATCCAACAAAATGCAATCTGGATCAGATCCTCATCCCTTGGCTTTGTGTGAAAGAAGGACACTCCTTCCCTTGTAGGATTGTCACAGGGGTTCACGGGATGAGACTCTGACCCAGAGGTCTTACTGTATTTTACATGTGCCTGTAAATTATTTGCAAAAAAAAAAAAAAAAAAAAAGAGGTAATAAAAAGAAAAGAAAAAAAGTGGTATCTTAACATGGCAGTTACCAGACTACCTTAAAAACAAATATTGGTGACATAGCCAGTTAAGTATCAGTGAGCCTTCTGTGTATGATCTGTCTGTTCCTGTTTCAAAACCATTTCACATACACTACTGAGGTGAGTTTATAACTTGAAATGTGAACTTTTTTTTTTAGGGTTAAGAACAAACTATATAAATGTTAAAAAAAAAAAAAGGCTTTAGGGTTCTGTTTTCAAACATGCTAGCAGTTTAGTTGTTACCTTTAGTTGCTTTGTATTGGAAAAGCTTTTAAATTTATTTAGATCTTGCTCCATTTACAGTACATTCTTTGGATGGATGTAGTAAATAAAGCTTCTTTAAGGCAATTTCAAGACCTTATTTTAAACTGTGTTTTCTTTATACTGACTTTTTTTCCCTAACAAAATTAGAAAAACACTTACAGCATAGAAGGAATCGATTAATTTGATATTTTCAACAGGAGGAACCCAGCAAGTTGCTATCATGTCTTTGGTTTGGAATTACCATTGAAGATAGGGTGCATAGTAAAAATTGTGAATTATCAATATGCCCAAACTTGAGTTGGAAGGTTGAGCGCTCAAATACTATTCAGCATCTAGATTGGAGTAGGATGTGGCAGAGGCTATCACTGCTCTCAGTACTGAAATTTGTTTATGGTCCCAAGAGTTTTACACTCAGAACCCTAGATGGAGACAGTTGATGTGACACTGAGTTGTTTGGTGGTCTCAGGAAGGTGCTGGGGTGACCTGAATGTTGGTTTCTGCGTTGGAAACCAAAGCCTTCTGTTTCTCATTTTCACAGTGCACACACAACAAGGTTAGCAGAACACTTCCTTCCATTTTCTCTAGAGATCATCACTAATTTCAGACAGTATCTTTCAGCAAAGCCGGTCAGATGATTCAAGGGGAAGTGACGGGTTGTCATGGAATAACTTCTAACAATTGCCCCATGTGGCTTTGCCATTGATTAAAATTAAGAATTTTACCTTCTTAGTCTTGAGCAGCCTGAGTTATGGTGTCCCAACCTACATTTCTTGGAATACTAACTTCCTGCTTTTTTAAAAAAATAAAGGCCTTTTTGGAGGCAAAAGAGGCTGGGAAACTTCCCAAGGTGAGAGATCATAGGCAATGTTTTCTTTTTCTGCTGGGAAAGATTCACCCTGAGCTAACTTCTGTTGCCAATCTTCCTCTTTTTTTTTTTTCCTCCCCAAAGTCTGTTCTGGGAGAAAAGAACGGATGCTCTTCAAGTTGCAGAATCACAGATTTTGATTGATCTTGTTAGAAAAAGAATTAACAATCACACAAAACATGTTACACCTCTACCAGGCGCCAGGCTTTGTCCGAGCTGCTGCAGCAGCTGTAGCATGAGCAAAATCTTGCACATGTAGAGCTTACATTCCAGTGGGAGAGCACAGACAAAGTGAGCAGATAAACAGTAGGTCGGGTGGGGACAAATGCTATGATTATGTGACTTCTTAGGCTTTTTGGCTTCTGTAATCTCAGATGGACCTCACAATAACTCAGTGAAGTAGGCAGGGCAGATAATGTGACTGGGCAAGGCCACACAGCTGGTAAGAACCAGGACAGAAATATGAACTCAGACTGCAAGTCCCAGATTCCTTCTAACAGCACAGTGACCCTGGAAATAGATAAAACCAGTCAAGCCAATGACCTACTTCAGAGCCCAGAAAAAGAAAAGAAAAGCTTTTCTACAAACGTAGTTTCTTTTCTGTTGGCTTTTAGTGTGTTTTCATATGCAACCTCTTTCCTTGGGGGATGGGAACTGAGGGCAGAATGGCTGAAATGCCTCCTCTCAGCGCGGAAGACACAGTGGCTCTAGGTGGGGCTGCTAAAAATGTAGACCCTGGCACATCTGAGGAAGTCTATCTACAACGCTGTCCCAAAGATGATGGAGAAGGCTAAAGAACTATCGTGGGCAGTCAACTGTACCCTTCTGATTCTTCACTAGAAAGGTGACCCGTTTTTTTATTCCAAAAATATCTGTCATGACAACATACATAAGCACTTATTTAGTTGAAAGTCAGAACCACTAGAAAACAAAGTTCTGATTTTTCTTTTCTCATGGATAATCCTACAGACGGTCCAACCTTTATCGAGTGCTGTTATGTGGCGGGCACTGTGCTGGCTGTGTTTTGATAGCTATAATTGACCTTACTGCCTTGGCAGACCCTGTTATAAGGGCATTAGGGTACTTCACTATTTAAAAGAAATTTAAATTTCTTGGCTCTGCCGCAATATTTTTGTATGACCTCAATTGTTACATGATATTATCTTTATTATAGGCTTCTGGGCACTCAGCCTTTATATCAGAGTTAGGTTTTATTTTTAAAAAAAACACGAAATGTAACATTTTCGCATGGATATTTTAATGAAATCACATTTTGACACAATCACCCTAAAAAAAATACATCTTCACTTTTTAAAAAAATTACTGGGTAGGATGACATAGATGTACTCATTTTATTCTTGCCCTGCTAAGTCCTTTGGCACTTTCCCCATCTCTCTGACCACCCAAGGTTAAGGGCAGGATTAGGTTTAAATACAGAATGAGACTCAGGAAACATCCACCAAGTGTTTTGCTTCAATTCCAAGTTCCAAGGTGTCAGCCTGGAGACAGACTTTTCTTTCTCCTCTTTTCCCTCTTTAGTCTTCCCTTTCTAGGTAGCCCGCATTCCTGTTTTCTGACTTCTCACATCAGTCAGAAACGTGGAAAAACTGTGCTTGCCCAAATACTTATCTCTGTGAGCAAGCACCGTGGCCGAGGGGAACAAAGCTGGGTTTGTAGTCCAGATACGTGGGGAGTGAAACCCCAGCTGTGCTCTTTACCAGCCGTGCGACCTTGGAAAAGACGCCTCGCTTCTCTGAGCACCGGTCTCTTAATTGGTAAAATAGAGACAATAATCCTGACCTCGTAAGTTTATTGTGAAAATCTGATGAGTTAATGAATCTTAAAAAGCCTGGTATGTTGTAGGCACTCAAGAAACATTTATTTCCTTTCCCTTCCCCTTTATAAACTGTCGTGTGAATGCATCCCACAGTATTAACTCCATTAAGCCGTTCCATTTTATGCCTTTTATTCTTTTTTTCCCCATTTATTCAATAAACATTTGTTGAATGCCAACTGTCTGCCAGCACAGCAGGAGGCACTGGAGAGAGAACAGTCAACGAAATCGACCCCCTCTGCCCTCCAGAAACTCCCAGACATGAGAAGACAGTGTCGCAAGTGCTATGAAATGGGAGGGGGCACCCGCAAAGGCTTGCACAGGGGGTAAAGGAGGTTTTGAGGAAGAAGTGCCATCTGAGCAAGGAAGTACAGAATGACTATGAGTTAGGGCAGATGAGCAGGGAAACGAGGGAACAGGAAGTGCCCAGGTCTGGAAGAAAGAACATGATATATTCACTGAAAGTCAGTGTGGCTTGCCTCAAAAGAGAAAGAGAAAGGGTGTCATCTGACCTGTGTTAGGTGTGGAAGGAAGAGATTTGGTCCCTATAACAAGGAACGGGGAAAAACTCTAACTAAAACATTCCTCCTTGGGACTTTGAGTTTCTTTCAGAAAATGGTGAAGCCTTGCATTTATCTAAACTGCTGAGGCTGAGGGGTTGTCTAGCGATCAACAGCATGGTGCATCTGAGTGCTCCCTCTAATGGGCAACACCCTCCCTCCAGCCTTCCTGGCCCCAGGTCATGTCCACCAACCCTGATCTTGTGGGGGGAGTTTATAGGGGCAGACAAGGGTCTTACAGGTTTCCACCCCTTTCTTCTTTAAATCCATGTTCTAGCCTCTGGGACCATCTACCCTTTCCTCTCCGGGGTCATACAGCACCTACATGTGCTGGTCAGGGTGTCCCCACTCTCCCTGGGGAAGCACTACAGGAATGCCGACTTCTCAGGAAGGTGGTGGAGCCCTATAGTCCTCCAGATGGCTGTGAGGGCGAGGGACGGTCTTAAGTAAAATCTTCAGAAGTGCACTGGCTTCCTCAGTGGGATTAGATTTCCTTGCAAGTCCACTCTACGCAATTATACCCACAATCAAAAGCAACACCAAATGCTGCATTTGCAAGAAATATGACCTTTCCTGAGCTAATTTTTAGCCACCTTTCTTTCTTGGCTTGCTCTACTTTGTTTGTCAAAAATCTTCATTAATGATTAACCAACCACGAGGTTTAAATAGGCCTTAGTCATTGTGAGGCAGGTAAAACAAGTTGCTAAAGCCCGGTTGTTTCTGACATGACCTTGCTGGGGGGCCCTGGGTCAAGACATTTTGAGCTTATGGCATTATAATAACACTGGCCTTGCCAGTTTAGTTTTCCTGGGATTTTTCCTCTCCTTTTTCAGGATCTTCATTTCAGTGTATTTCTATCAGCCTTGCCAGCTTCACCGCCCCCCCCACCCCAATTCAAGCATGGCTGCTTGACACTTTCTCAGTCTTACACAAAGTGCTGTGTAAACTCAGCTTCCTGACAGGTCCCTAATCTCCCCTTTCCAAATAAGATGCTCCTCTAAGAAGAGAAATTCTGGGAATGCAGCTGATGCTAAATGTGCTCTAGCATTTATAGAAGAAAGTGTTCTGAGCATAAGAGACAATAGCAAAAACAATCTATTTAGCATAACTTCCCAATTCTTAAGTACAAATATCCAAACTGTTAAGTGCCCTGACAAGGCCTGCCTTCGGTGAGCATTTCTTTTTCTTGTCCCTCATTTTCCTTATGCTTGGGAATAGCGTCAAACCTTAGAGCATGATCACTCAGCAGGAGATAAGAACAATGACTGACAGTAACTTACTATATGCCAATCGGATACTTAACATGTCAAGTAGCTTACATGGATTTTTAAAAATTTTTTTATTAAAAATAATACAAACAGAGAACTGTGCACAGATCACATAGAGCTTGATGAATTTTCACAAACTGAGCCCATCTATGTAACCAGCATCCCGATAAAAAACATGACCAGTATTCTGGAAGCTTCCCCATGGTCCCTTCCAGACACTACCTCCTCCCTAAGGGTAACCACTGTTTTGACATCTAACAGCATAAATTTGTTTTCCATGGGTCATTTTTTCATACTTGAGATAGCTACTACTATTATCCCCATTTTACAGATAAAAGGAAAGGAGGCAGAAGGAGGTTTAGCAACTTCCCCAAGGTCACATAGCTGGTAAGTGAAAGAGCCGGGATGTGAACCTGGATTTTCTAACTCCAGAGCTGGGATCCGGGTGGGAAGGTGTAATTATAAGTCACCTGTTTCATAAGGACTTAAGGTCATTTGTTTGTACTGGAAGTTACACTGATCTCCCAACAGTCACTTCACCATAAAGGTCATTGGAGCAAGTGGAAAGCA